CCAAAGCCTAAGCCTTAAACCCTGAACCCTAACTCCAGGCTCCCCCAAAGTCAGATCAAGGTCTATGAAACTTGGGGTGGCATAAGGGGACCTGTATGAGTTTAGGGTTTAGGGCTTAATTAGGGTTTAGGGTTTAGGGCTTAATTAGGGTTTAAGGTTTAGGTTTAGGGTTTGAGGCTTGGGTTATGATTTGTGCACTTCATATGAGTCATAGTCTAAACTCCTAATATCTGAATTAATAACCGCTAGAAAACTCCCGTATATAAGCTCGCCTACAGCCCGCTCATCTGCGTTACTTGCAACTCACTTTGCATTAAGCATGACCACCAAGATCCACCAAGCTAATAAGCTATTTGGTTCCGAGTTGAAAGACTGCGTGAACAACATGAACTAGTGACTTTGCGGTTGCCTCATGCACGCATTGCCTCTACTTGTGCTTGAGGACGGAGAGGCTCCTGAATGCTAATGACGACAAATGTCATGGAAACAGTCACGTGGCCTAAACCCTAGACCCCTAAACCCTGGCCTATTTGCTGAGTTCCTGGGCAAGGTTCACGTCTTCAATAGCGTAGGGAGGCAAGAATCAAAAAGCTCTCTACTAAGCTATACTATCATAGCTTCTAAGATTTATCAGAGTCATAGCCATATAGGATCCCCAGGTTTAGCTCTGAGAAATTCCCATGTACACCCCTGAAACCAAAAGCTGGATCCCTACATAATTCACCCTAGTCTCTGCACCCCAATGCGTACAATCTAACCCCTCGTCCCATGTCCGCTGAAGCGCAGAAATCTGGACTCCAGCGCTGCGCCTTCTTCCAGCTCCAGCAATGGCATGCCGAGACAGATTGCATGCTTAGGGGCTGAAAGCTTTATGGTTAAAGGGTTTAGGGTTCAGGGGTTTAGGTATTCGGCTTTTTGGTAAAAGGGTTAAGAGGCTCAGGGATGAAGGTGGCAAAGAAGGGACCATGCTTGGTGCTTGCAGCTTTTTGTAAACAAAAAACCTCCTGTTTGGGGTGCAAACGTTGGAGGCCTACTTGAAGGTTTATGGGGCTTAACAACAATGTACTCAGAAGTGAGCTTATGCCTTACTTTTGCTCTTCCAAAATGTGTGTAGGTTTCCCCAGTTATAAGCTGGGTTGTCAGCCCAGCCATAAATAGTTACCCATGAACTTTGAAATGAGCGTATCGCCCTTGATAACCCCTGTAGTAGTCCCCAAACCCTAGACCCTAAACCCTGATCCCTTATATAACCCCCTGTAAAGGAATTTCGACTACACTTTTTGGGGTGCTGAGTTTAGAAGCAACATGCCGCAACGCGGGTCCACGTTGAAGAGGGCACATTGATGAGGCGGCTCAGAGACTCAAAGACTGCACTCCGCTGGAAATGCCATTGTCTCAAGTGAACTCCACCTTCTCATACCTTCTCGGGCTTTCAAGAGCCACTCCATCATGGCAGCATAGAGTCATGCGGCACAACTTTGTCTATGCTCAAAGAGAGCACAGAGGGCGTCTATCATGCTGTAGACCCGGCATGTTCGCAAGTCCACGTCATCGGGCAGAGCTATGTTGAGCTTTAGCACTCTTGTAGCGAAACCTTCGATTGAGCTCTGAGGCCCCACATATCATAAATGATCACAAGAAACCAAAAATCCAACCTCAAACTCTAGACCTGAAATCCCGAACCATCTTAAACCAACCCTCCTCGAAACTAAACTGGAACCCGAAACAATAGCTCGCCCTATGGTATATTGGGGTTATATTGTGGTAGTGGAAAAGAAAATGGAAACTACTATATAGGGTTTAAGGTTTAGGGTTAAAGACGTTTCCCAAACATTGGTCTTAAAGCTGGTGCTATCCATGGCCTCTGTTCGAGTTCCACGTTAGTTTAGGGGAGGTGAATGCATCTACACCCATGCTTGGGTGGGTTTGGAGTGAGCTCTAGGAAAGACACTCAGCACTCAGAGCCAAAGCTCGCGGGAGAGCATACCTTCATGCATGCAATCGCGTATGAGGGTTTAGGGTTTAGGGGTTTAGGGGCTTCATATACATTAAGAACATCTACCCTCCAAGCATCCTCTGCTCAGGCCCAACTAGCCACTGTTTTGGGCCCTGGAACACCAATTAAAGGGTACCAGGAGGGTCATGGCAAGAATTTTGACAAGGTTGCCCTGGAAGGAAGCTGGGCACTTGCACTCATAATCCCAAAACTTTAAAAACCACAACTACAGCAAACACTTACCTAATCATGAAACTTAAAGACCCTAAACCAGAAGCCCTAAACCTCAAAACCCTAGCATGGGTTTGTCCTGGCATGATGCCCACAGAACGACTGCCCAATC